ATGGTAGATTTCACAGTATAATTTTGATATTCAGACAGTCTAGGATGATTGATTTTTATGATTCACTTTTTGAAGTACACATAACTCTCGGATTTAAATCCGAAGTTTCCGCATTTATTTCTATTTCAATCGATGATGATGAGAATTTTATTAAAATTTTAGTTTATCACAGAAAATTTTCCAAAGAAGGAAATTACTGGATATTAATGATTTACTATAGGCTAGAACCTATCGGATAGATTTCGTATTCGAATCCAATCGAGTCTAGATCTAAAAATTTCGTACGTGACGGACTCTATTATAGACTAAGTTTATCTTTGATATTATGAATTCAGATAAACAATATTGTTCATTCTTTATTCTCTATGAATAGGATGCCAGCATTTAATTCAAGTATACTTTATGTAATCTTCTTTGTGGCTTATCTATTAGTCAATCTGTATTTATTCATGAACTTACTTTTAGCCGTTATTTTTTCCAATTACAAACAACATTTACAGGCAAAAATAATATTTTTCTTTTTTGTTTGAATTTTCAAACTATAAAATTTCATGTCTATGAATATTTTATTTATCTAGGAAGAACAACAATTAATTCATAAACGCCAATTAGATACTCTTATGATTATATTTGAACGTTTAACAAGGCATAGTTCAACTCGTCGTATATCATATGAAACATATGTACGTTTAATGCGTGCAATTGAACCTGATATAACAGAAAATATAATTGATGCTTATTGGAAAACATTAAATGTAACTAATCAAGAAGATGGATTAAGTATGAATTTGTTAATAGTTAATCAAAAGAAGAAGAAAAAAATATAATTTTTTTTATTTATATAGATGTACAACAATTAAATGAACTTTTGTTAAATCTTAATTTTGAATTAAGACAACGAAGTACTGATCAAACAACACTTCAAAAAAAATGTCCATCACTTTATAATTCTAAACCAAGTCGAATTATTATTGATTTTGTTAATACAGAGTAAAAAAATTCTGTTTGTTTTTATTTAATATTAAAATTTCTTAATGAAATATTTTTTAGTCTTTTTCGAGCTATAATTAATTTATTAATTGTTGGTAATGCTATATGTTTAGCAGCAAGTTATAATCAATTAGAATGGCTTTTCTTATCTCTATTTATTGTTGAAGCTTTATTAAAAATGTATGCAATTGGTGTAAAAGAATATTTTCATCATCGATGGAATATATTTGATTTTACAATTGTTTTTGTATCAACAACTTATAGTCTTCTAACAGCTATTATTAAAACTTGTAAATCGAAACA